AATATACTGTCTATTCGATATGTATACTTGCGTAGTAGAATTTTAACTGACAACTATCAGCTCAAATACAATATTTTTTCTTCTATTTAAATTTCTACTGAAACCCAAATGAGTCACGTTTGCAAAAATTAGATATTTAGATCCACGTTTTGCATTGTTATGAAGGGAACAATAAAGATAAATATACAATACATAGTCATAAAAATATGATATTGGAGTAAGATAACAAATATTTATTTTTCTTACTATATTTGAATCTCATAATGAGAATTTGACACTTCATACTGATAATCTACGTCCTAGAATATTTTCACTCATCTAAATCAATTCATCAAATAATTAATAACATGCCTGAACACAATAACGTACAATGTGAACAATTTTGTAACTATGATTGTTAAGGATGTTAGTATCACAAAGCAAATTTCAAGATTTCACCAAAACATCAATAATAACTAATTAACAGGAAATTAAAACAAAAAATTAATGAAGAATTACAAGTGGCTATTACTTAAAGATATCTCTTTACAATTTTATAATAATAATAATAATAATAATAATAATCCATTTTTGCAAGAATATATATATTGACGTGTGAATCGTTTTAAAGATAAAAATGTAAACACAATATCACAATAAAATCTAATAACAACTAAGAAATAACTGTACGCAAAAGAAAACAGAGGCAAAGATCAGCTAGCTGAATCTACCACTAAAATTTGATTTTCAACACTTAAACTAATTTCTTTTTGTCTTCTCTATTTAGCTTAAAAGATAAAAAGCACTCTCGGTGAATTTTTCTATAAGAAAAAATACTAAACAAAATATGCTTTTAATTATACTACAAAGATACCATTGTCAAACAAGAAAAATTACCAAATAAGAAGAGTAACGAACAACATGAAAAACACCATGAACTAAAAATTATTCAAAAAATAAGTACCCAAGCAATGAGAGCATGATCAACAAGAATAAAAAAAGTTCCCCCCCCCCCCCCCCCCCCCCCAAAAAAAACATTCCTTCAACACTAAAAATAATTTTTCTCACCAAAAATGAGGAAGTGGACAATGAAGCAACGAATGAGAGGGAGTGAACAACAATGGACTGGGACGAAAAATCATTCAAAGAATAAGCACCCAAGCAATAAAAGCATGATCAACAAGAATAAAAAAAGTTTCCCACAAAAAAAAAAGAAAAAACACCATGCCTTCAACACTGAAAACAATTTTTTTCACTAAAGATGAGGAAATGGACAATGGAGCAACGAATGAGAGGGAGGGAACAACAATGGACTGAGATAGTAGTGGATGAAAGGCTATTTTAAAGAGAGAAAGAGTGATGAAAAGACAGAAACAAGAATGGGTTAAATACCATTAACCCAAAATCATTCAAAAAAAAAGAGTACCTAAGCAAGAAGAGCATGACCAACAAGAACAAAAAGGCCTCCCCCCCTTCAAAACAATGCCATTAACATCAGAAATGAGGAAATGGATGGTGGAGCAATGAACCAGAGGGAATGGATAGTAGTGGAGTGGGATGAGAATGGATAAAAGGTTGCTTTAGAGAGAAAAGGAATGATAAAGAGAGAGAAACAAAAATGGGTTAAATACCTAGGTTAATTGGGTATTATATAAGAGAGTAATTTTGAAATTGTTAGAGGATATTTTCATCCAATCAATTTATTTTCGTATTCCTTTTGGCTTGGAATAGCCATTATTGAAGTAATGACTATTCCGACCCTTCTTCGAATGTCCATTTCTAAGCTTTAAGTTAACAATAGGAATAAGAGCCGAATAGCCATTCCCCCCAACTAAGCATGCTGCAGTTATCTTTTTGCTTTCCTTTCGTTTATATCTATTCCAAAGAAAAAACCTATCACATTTCCTAATCCCCAAGCCCGATTCCATTTCTTCTCACTGATTTCACCATTTCTTCTCTTCTTCTTCCTTACTAATTATTGATAATGATAAGCTTATATGGTGCTTTTTAATTAGATCATGTTCAATATATGATTTTTAAACATTATACCTACTTGTTTGTTTTAAGGTCACTACTCCGATGGTACAGATAAAACATTATATCTTTTGATAAAGGCATGACAAGTGCAAGCTTTAGACATTTTTCACATTTTTATTCTAGAACAATTTTGGTAAACAAGAAACAAAGAAATATAACTCCCCACTGAGCAATTCATAAACTATTAGCATACGTTTTCTACAATGTCACCAACCAATCTATGATCATGTTATATATGTTATAAATGAATAAAATACACATGAAAATATAATATTTATAGAACAACAATAAATTTAGCAATTTATTTATCTAATAAATAAATAATAAAATTAATTTTTAAAAGCATATGTCACAAGATCTCCAACTTGCATGTAAAAGCAATCATACACATATTTCACACCCATTGATTCTAAATGCTTCTCAAACACTCTTTGTGACAAAGATTTAGTCTATGTGTTTATCATACTTTTTTGACATAAGCAATATTTGTTATTGTAATATTGCCTCTATGTATAATATCACAAATCTAGTGAAATTTATACTTAATGTGCTTTGTGTCTTAGTGAGCTATTGGCTACACAACTTGTGCTATTGTTTCATTATTGTCATAATAAATAGTAATGAGAGAATTAATAAATGGAACAACTCCACGCTTCCATATGAATTTTTGGATCCATACAAATTCTTTTACTATTTCACTTGCAATGAAATATTTTGCGTCTGTGGTGGAATCTGTACAAGTATTTTGCTTGCAACTTCTCCAACTTATTGCTCTTTTTTTGCTTAATGCCAACTTTTTCTCCTTACCCAATGTAAAAACAAACTTAGATGTTTATTTTCTATTATCTAATTTGATTGAAAATCTTAATCTATATAGCTTGTCACTACTAAATCAAGTGGAATTTGTACTAGTTTTTCTCAAACACTTTTTGTAACAAATATTTAGTCAATGTATTTATTATACTTTTTGGCAGAAGCAATCTTTGTTATTGTAACATTGCCTCTATGTATAATATCATAAATCAAGTCAAATCTTTGCTTAATGTGCTTCGTTTCTTGGTGAGCTATTGGTTGTACAACTTGTGCTATTACTTCATTATTATTGTAATAAAAAGTATTGAGTGAATTTATAAAAGGAATAACTCCATGCTTCCATAAGAATTTTTTGATCCATACAACTTTTTTTGCAATTTCACTTGCAATGACATACTTTGCATCAATGGTGGAATTTGTACTAGTATTTTTCTTGCAACTTCTTCATCTTATTGCTTCTTTTTGCTCAATACCAACTTATTTCTCCTTACCTAGAGTGAAAACAAACCTAGATGTTTATTTTCTATCATTTAATTTGATTAAAAATCTTAAGGTCCGTTTGGTTACCAAAAAATAACTTACTAGGAGGAAATTTTTTTTGTGTAAAATATTTTGCAAAAATATTTAATGTTTTTAGTTATTTGGATAAGCCATCGAAAATATTTTCTATCATTTGGATCATCTTATGAAAAATGTTTTTCATCATCACTGGTGGAGCTATTTGGGTGTCAAGATGATAAATACGAGTTGACTATAAAGTGATGGAGTCATTTGGTTTGACTAATTTAGGATCAAAATTAAGAATGGACATGAAAATAGGCTAAATCAATAATGATATTTTTCAAACATTTAACCATATATTTATAATTAAAGTAAGCTCTAATTTTTAAAAAATTTTCTATTTCATGATCTTTTTACCATAACACTATAAAAATATCAATATTTATCAATTATGTTAGACATCCAAAACCTATACTTTGTGTATTTATCAAATAATGATAATTGAAATAATTTTTTATTATAATTATTAGTAAAATTTATTCAATTTATAAATAAAAATTTAATTGCATTAAATGATTTCATTAAAAAATATATTTTTTTGAATGCTATTGATTAAAAAGGGAAGCTGCGGATAAAGTAGTATCTCTCCATTATGCAAAAGAGTATGAGTTTAAAATCTCTTAAGACTTTTGAGTAGGTAATCAGCCTATGGACCCACTTCCATGTAATAACATCTAGGAGGCCCCCCTCCATCGATTCCTTAAACCATGGCAGTCTCGACAATGTTGGTTGACATCGTAGAAATCATGTGGTCGTAACTATGTATATCAACTCATGGCCTAGCCATATCTAACAACCAATGGCCTTGCCACGTATAATCACAGACCATGGCCTAGCGATGTCTAACAACTCGTCAGTGACCCAAAAGGTTCTCTAGTTAGAGCTCACTTGTACACAAGGATCACACTATCTTGAGGTGACATTCAGCCTACTTTCGATGCTCTTGGATTGTCAAAATTGTTTTAAAAACCAAATCAAGTTTTCAAGAGTTTTTCTTTAAGTCATTTGAAAACAAGGTTCAGCAACTTTTAAAATTATTTTTCACATTAAAATGTATGGTGTAAACATTTGCATAAAGTTTATGTAACGACCACTTACCCCGATTGTTACCAACGTTCAAGACTTACGAGTGAACTCGTTAAATTTCGAAGCCTTAATTGAAATTTTAGACATTATGCCATCAATCCATCAAATTGCTTGAATCATATACCTCTTGTAATAAGAATTGTACATAAATAATAATAAACCAACTTATCATTTATTCACCAAAACCGTAAGAATACATTAGAGTTTGTAGTATCTAACTGCATATTTATATTGACACTATTTACACATACTTCAAGTTATGGATGACTCGACCTCTAGCAGCGGAACGACTCGGAATAAAGTGCTATGAAATGCCTTTATCTATCCGTAGTGGATCATAAGCATCGATGATTGCACACTAGGTCGATCACTATCTACAAAAAGGAAAATAAAAGGTAAGCCTCACAAACTCAGTGATCATCGGCTCCGTGAGTAGGGCATAGATGGGAAACAAGCTAAGAGCAGAAGTTTTGAATATTAAAAATATAATAATGTATGCAAATAATTTAGCTCAAAAGGGTAATTTGTGCCTTTTTTGTAAAACCAGAAAGTTAATGCAAGATAATCATCTAAATCAACTAGCAAACCAATTCATGTAAAGATCTTTACCGTTGAAATCATTTAACAACCCTAGTAAAATCAAATAAGTATAATCATGCACGCTCCCATGAAATCAAA